ATTTCTTAGTTGATAAAGTGAGAATAAAAATGCCGGTGGTTCTGACGTAGGAGACCTCTAGCATAATCCTGTACCTACCAGCTGCCTGAGTTAGAACAACCCAAATACAGGGGCCCCAATTCCACTAGGGCAGTTCAATAATACAACTCTTCTTTACTTTTTTTTTTTTTTTTCTTTTTGGTCTTTTTGAGACAGGGTCTCCCTGTAGCCCCAGCTGGCCTGGATTCACTGTGGAGACCAAGTTGGCCTCGAACTCAGATCCTCCTGCCTCTGCCTCCTGTGTGCTGGGATTAAAGGCCTGCTCCACCACACCCGGCCAGCTCTTCTTTACATTTAACTGAACACTTTCAGTCCTTCCCACTCGCCTCTGGACATAATGCTACCTTATTATGGAGTGGTTACACTTTGGGAAGATGCACACCAAAAACTGGGGGCCAAAATATGTTGCAGTGCAGTTTTCATATCCCCTTTGTCCATTCTCAGACCCTCAGCCTTTTCTACCCTTCTGAGTATTGCAAGCTCTGAGCTTCACTCCTGCTAGGCAAGTGCCCCAACCATTGACCTATAGTCCCAGCTCTTTGATGCATCTTCCAATCCCTTGACTACAATGCCACCTGTCCCTCAAGGGGGTCACAGTTTTCTGAGGCCCGTCTGGCGGTCCCGGGGTGGAGGGTCATTACTATTCAGGTTTTCACCAGGGAGAAAGAATATCTTGGAATCACCCAAGGAAGCTCTTTCCGCTCTAGTCCTCAGTTTCCCCATCTGTACAGTAAGGGTCGGCTAGGACCCCTTCCTGTCCTATACCTACCAGCCCTGGAGACTGCTTGTTCCTTTGCTCCTCTCCATTCCCCTGGCCACACTAGCACCTGCAACCTAGAGCATGATATGCAAGCAAGCATCGAAGACACTTCTGAACACCAGCCTTTGGTTGGGTTGTTTACTCTCTCTCTCTCTCTCTCTCTCTCTCTCTCTCTCTCCCCCCCCCTTCTGACACAACAACCCATTACCACTCCTGCTCAAATGCCAGCTCCCAAAATGTTTGAGTATTACCCAGCACTAGAGACTCCCCTTCCTCCCTGTGCCTCTCCTTCTGCACAGAACTCCCCTGGGCAATCATTTCTCCCCAGTGTGAACTCCCCAATCCCCAAAGCTGCCAATTCATCAGTCTTTTCCTCAGGCGGAGTATCAGCTGGAAAGGACCAAGCCAACTTCTTCCCAGAGGGTAAACTGAGGCCCAGAGTAAAGGGAGACCTGCCCAAGGTTATTCTGAGATGGAGTCAGGCTTCAATCTGAACCTTGTCCAGCCCAGGACAACCTGATGAGACCATTAGGAGATTGATCTTTGTATTCCCCGGGAATTTGTCCTAAACCTCAGACAGGTAACAATGATTGGTTCTTCAGTCTTGTAAAATGAGGTACAGCCTTTGCTCTCCAGTCACCCCCACTGGCTTTGAGATGTGCTACTCAGAGAAAAAATGGTTGCAATTCTAAAGCTGAAGTCTATAAAATTTCTAACCTTTGCCAGCGCACCAGGAGGTAGGCTTTGCAACCCTCTACTGCGGAGGGAACGCCTGGGGGAGTAGGAGTCTGGGGAAGTTCACTAGGACTCAGCCCATTGTCCCGGGCCGGAAAGCTGAGGCCCTGGGAGAGGAAGAGGAGCGCTTAGAGCTAATGTGCTCATCCTCCTCCCACCCCCGCACACAGCAGGCACCGGGGGCACTGCCCACTTACGTCCAGCTCGAAGGTACGCAGCGCGGTGCGGTAGCCCCCGGACACCGGCGGTAGGAGGCGCAGCACCTCCTTGACCACACAGTCGACATAGCGCAGACAGCCCAGCGCCTCCAGGCTGAGGTCTGGCTCACAGCCGCAGTCGGGGTGTAGGCCGGACGTCCCGGGCGTGCAGCCGCAGGCGTGCCCCAGACCCTGTGCCCACAGTTCCTGCTGGATTTTGGCGATGGCCGCCGGGTGCTGCAGGAGGAGCAGGACGAGGGACGTGCTGGCACTAGCAGTGGTGAAGAAGGCAGCGAAGAGGATCTCCACAGCGCATTCCTGCAAGACAGCCGGCCAGACAACGCGGGGGGCCAAAAGGGCCCAAACTTAACAGGGGCACCAAAGCGAGCCAGCGTGGGTGTGCTGCCGTGGTGGCTATGCGCCTGGATTCTAAAATCGGTCAAAACCCAGGTCTGCCACTTGGGAAAGTCAGGTAGAGTAATAACAGGCAAAAACCAGTATCTATATACACCGTTGTGGTGGACGTGCTCTGGGAAAATACTGGGAAATTATTCTGTGCATTATCCTTAGTGCTGCAAGTAGATTAACTCTTTGGACTCTTGCCTTCACCCCGTAAGGCACAATTACAGGCTCTGTGAAGTGGTCAAGGTCCCTACAGCTAGTAGTTTTGTCAGTTCTCTCTCTCCTGCCTCTAACACACTTGCAAGGACTGCAGAAAGGCACAGGGCTTCCTATTGTGGCTTCCTCTTTCTGGTCACCTGCCTCTGCCCAGTACCTTCAGGAAGCACTAGTGTTTGTGCTTGCAGCAAGCTGCTCCAGGAATCTGAGGGTGGGTCCCGCATCCCCCACCCCCTTGAGACAAGGGTTTTTTTACTCACCACCCATTTTGCCTCTCAACACAGAACTTGGCACTGAATAAGTATATAACAATCTTTGTGGAGTGAATATTGACCTGGTTGGAGGCTAACTGCTGGGCCTGCCTTGGGCAAAATGGGAAGCTGAGATGGAGACCCAGGGCCCAGACATCTCCCTGCCCAACCTGGCCAGTGGTCCCTTTGATAGGGTGTTGTTACTCCTCCCTAGTCTGTCAAAGCCACTTCTCTTCAGAGCCCAGGACTGTGTTAAGCACCCAGCTTCCCAGGACTCAAAGTCTAGTGCAGTGTGTAGTGCTCAATTGCTCCCTGAACCCTTTGAAGTCATTGAACTTCACACCAAGAAATAAGAATGATTATTGCTCCTATAAAAAGATAAGAAACAGGAGAATCTGATGCTTCTGGAAAAATGGCTACCAATTCAAGGCTATACAGCTAGTGCATGAGGCAGTCATGACTGGAATCCAGGCCCCCTCTTTCAACTTCCTGAGGTATGCCTGTGCCTCAAAATGGTGTTAAATAGGATGTGACTAGAGATGCATACTGTGTTAAGGGATCTGCAGGAAAGGAAGAGGGGGAAGGGAAGGAGTGGCCTCCCACCACCTACCTTCAGCTCCTGCACTGACAGCTCATGGCCCAGCTCCCTAGCGCTGTGAATGATCTGATACAGGGCATCACCTGGCTCTGTTGCCTGTTTCTCATGAAGTTTCTCAGCAATGGCCTCATCCAGGTGCTGATGCAACTGGTCCCTGGCCCGGATGCCCTGAAGCACAGGGAGAGAAGACAGATGGGGCTGGAAGGCTCAGAGGTCACACACCTCCACCTAGATCCTTATGTTAGTCTCTCAGCTATCAGTGCCCATGCCTGGTCCAGAGCTGTCAAGGTGCAGTCTGTCAATAAGTACCCTTTTCCCTGCACTAAGCTCAGGTAAGGCAGTGGTAAAAAAAAAAAAAAAAAAAAAAGGGAAACTCTACTGAGGACACTACTGGATGTTTTAAGCATTAGCTCCTGTTATGGGGTGGGCAAGAGGGCCAGAATGCCCTCCAGAGTCTGGGAAGCAAACCCAGCCCAATATCCCCCTGGGGAAGCATTGAAACAGAGCATTTGAGTTTTATAGCCAGAAGTATCTAGTTCAGATCTTGTTCCTGACCCTACCTACTAGCTGGGTGTTCTTGGCTATCCTATCACTTCAAAGTAGTCTGCTTAGTCAATAAAATGAGAATAACACTTTGCAGGTTGCAAGAAATAAATCAAAAAATGTATGCAACAGATCAGATGCAACAAGATCCTTTATCATAGGAAAGTCCTAAGGCATGGGGAGAATTGAAGGTAGGATGGGGTTCCTTTCCTCACTTAGGATCCAACCCATCACTGGAAGGAGGTGGTGCTGGTTCTCTGATCTGGAAGCCAGGGGGCCCTGAGCCATGGCACTCACTGCCCTAGACCACAGCTGGTGCCCACCCACCCACTCCTGCATGTTCCACTGCCATCCAGGGTCCCAAAAGGCACTGGAGACCCGAACAAGAGGCGCCACTTTGAGAAAGGATGGACTGACTGCCTGGATGCGGGCAGCTTAGACCCAAACTCAGGAAGGCCTCAGCCTCAGGAGCACATGGGTTTGTATTGTCCCATGTCCCCATAGAGGGTGCCTGGCATGCCCCCCGTCATAGAGAGACCATAGCAACCCTGGTACCCACCACCTACGGCGCTTCCGTCTCCAAGCAAAGATGCATCTAGGGTGCTCGGTCTTGTTTGGGAGACCCTCTGGAGTCATGGACTAAGGTGTGTGGCGACATTACCTTGCGCAGGCCACTGAAGGGCACGTCCAGGGGCAGCGAGAAGAGGTTCTCCATCAGCTGTTCGAAGATCCGGGCCAGCTTGGCGCATTGCGCCTCGTCAAGCCGCAGACCCAGCAGGATGCGCGCGGCCATGCGGAAGGTGAGCGCTTTGGTGGCCTCATAGACAGCTACCGGTTGGCCGGCGGCGCACCAGGAACGCACCTCGCGCCGCAGCGCCCTCTGCAGACGCGGCACGTAGTGCTCCAGAGCCGGGCGGCTGAACACACGCGCCAGGACCTGTAGGGAGTGCGTGGATCAGCACAGGGCAGGCTGGTCTTTTCTCCGCAATTCTCAGCCAGAAGGCGAAGGCCAGTCCCTTCCTCCTCTTCTGGGCGGCACAGCCCTAAACTAAACTTGCTGGCTTCACTCTCTATTTCCTCCCCCTCATCCAGGCCCCAACTACCAGCTCCTCCATCAAGTCTTCCAGAACCCTCTTCTAGAGCTAAATCCCCAGAGCTTTTAGTATCTGTCCTAGAAGGTCTTAAGGTGGTGAGCCTGGCCCGGGCCACCTGTTCGTTAAGCAAGGATTCAGGTCAAGTTCTCATTATATTCGAACAGCCACCTCCAGCCTGGCTTGCCGCAGGTGCCCAGGGACCAAGGATCTGATGTTCCCTGGGTCTTCCCCTCACCTTGCGTCGCCGCCTATGAGGCTCGCCAACCGCACCGAGGAGTGTGTGTGAACCTAGTAGGATGTGCGTACTCTGCGGCCACTGGCTGCGCACCAGGCGATGCTCGCCCAGCAGGATGGTGCGCACGTTCTCCGCGCCGCTCACACGGATCACCGGCCGTCCCAGCAGGTGCGTTTTGAACACGGTCCCATAGCGTTCCCGGCGGGAACTGTGGAAACGGGATCCCTGCGGGCAAGGCGGAGCTTGGAGGGCAGGAGCGTCTGGGACCGGCTGGGGCTCTGACCCAGAACTCCCAACTGCTTCTCGGTAACAATCCCCTGACCCAGGCTGTCACACTAGGGGCAAAACAGAGTCTCATATGGGCCTCCCAGGAACCCTATGGGAATGCAGACATTTACTGGTAAGGTGGGGAAATCAAGCTTAGAAAGGGGACGTGGGAGCCCATGGTTGAGATGTGCCTTGATTCTGTAGCCTACACTTGCAGGACCCAGGGTACCACATTCCTTACATCCCTTCCTAAGCCCCCAGTTTACACCAGAAATCTAAATTGCTCTTAGAATTCCGGAGACATGGGGCCTCTTAGAGGGAATAGCTAAGCAGTGGCAAGGGTTGTGAGTAATCTACAGAAACCTGGGCAAGGGTCTGGCTATGAACCCTAGGTGCACGGAGAGCCAGAAGAGTCCAATGCATATTGCAGGGAATGACAAACCACTCACCTGAACCAGCCAGTGCAGCGTTTCACCGAAGAAGGGCCAGCCCATGGAGCCCTTGGGTAGGGGCAAGGCAGACCCCCGATCCCGGCTCAGAGTCCAGCGGAGGGTCCAGAGATGTTGAGCCAGGCTGAGTAGCAGACCGGCACACAGGAGAGCGGTGCCTGCCGCCCCCAGCATGGACAAGCAACTCAGCCCCCAGGGAAACATGAGGCACTTGTGGGGGCTAGGCCACCGGGAAGGCAGGGGGCACAAAAACTGGGGCTCAAGCAGAGATCACCTGTCCTGTCCAGAAAAGGCCCGGGGTTAGGGGCAAAGCCTGAGATGAATAACCACAGACAAGATTTCTGCTCTTAAAATGCGACCGTCAGTGGAAGGTGTAGTGACCAGAGTCGTTAGATACTTGCCTTCCTTGAGGCTGGAGGCTCAAAACATTTTCCCCTGCTTTCAGTCCAAATTACTAGCCTACCCCGGTACCTCCAGAACACTCTAGTCACCCACGCACGGGCGGGATACCACCACCTCCCCAGATCAAGGTCCCAGGAGATTAGCAACTCACTGTGCTGCCTACCAGAGTCGCAGGAAACTGCATACCTCTGGCCACCACACTCTGTTCTCCACTCGGTTAACCCTCCTCCGCTTGCCCTCACCCATTTATACAGATATTGCTTCCCTCCCTACGGACTGATCTCCAGTCATACAACATGACGTGTCTATGCATATTTAAAGTCCCCCACTCAGACTAATGATTGGAGGCACCGGGCAGTGGCCGGATCTGGCTCCGACCGGACCCGGGTAGGGTAGGGAGTGGCAGCTGGTTGGGGGCTGTGCCCCACAGGCGTGGTCGGGCGGGGCCTGTGGTTTTGAGGTAGGACTTGGCAGGGTACCGCAGCAGGCATAAGTCTCTTTCGGGGAAACTGTGTTGTGGATACAGTGGTTCCCCAAGAGATAACTGGGGCCCAGTTCTCGACCCCCTAAGGACTCCCCGTTCTCCAATCTGCACTTCAGGAGATGGTACTGTCATTGTTTCTGCAAGCTTCACGAGGTCGCCAAAAGTCCTCCAGAAATCAATTTCCCCGGGGGGTGGGGGGGCGCTGTTCTGGTTTAGGACCAAATCAAATTCTCACTCCGTTTTCACTCCCCCTCTCTCCGGAGTCCTCCAGATCCCGCCCCTCTCCTGCCGGCCTACTAGGTTGTGGTCTTGGGCTTTGTGTCCCATCCAAAGGCTGAAAAGTTCAAACCCTCCCTCCTACTCCGTAACAGTGCAAGCTGGGAGTGTGGGGAAGCACAAGTGGGTGCCTGAATTATTGGAAAGAGTATAGAGCAGTCCAAGGGGTCTTCTCCAGGGGGTGCAGTGGTTCCTCCCTCTGAATGCCTGAGCCAAAGTCAGGAGGCTTCCAAAGTAACCAGAGACTGTGCTAGGGCCAGCACATCCCATGTCTTCAGACCTGTCTGTTCCTAAGGTCCAGATTGTACCCTGCCTAAAGAATTACTATATTTTTCATGTAGTATTTTTTTTAAATGTGAAATACTTTAAGTATTTTGTCAAGAGAACAAATGCTTTTTGTTTTGGTGTCGCGCGGGGTCTGATAATTAGAGAACAATACACCTTTTCTGGAGAGGCAGTTTAAAATGAGAAGCTCTAAACAGAGGAGATAGCATAGTCAGTAGCTCTCAACCTTTTTAATGTTTCATCACAAAAATCAAGAGATGTAAACATGGCTCTTTACACCTATTTTACAGAGTCAGATAGTCTTACAGGCAAAAATCCGGAAAATGCAAAGGAGGTATCTCAGCATAATTACAACAGGAGAAAGTAAAGGTCGAGTTTACATTGCCAGTTGGGTCACCCTGACACAGAGGAAAAGGTCCATCTGCCTTATATGGTTTCCAGAATTGAGCTGGCTCAGTCGGCCTCCAAAGTATCTAGACAGTACTGAGATGGACTGACTACTTGAACAGAGTTATGCCTGTGCTGTGCTGACTTCATTATCTACTTTGGGACAAGCTACACCTTAAGTTATCAGCCCTTTAAGTGTCTTCTCTTTTAACTTGAACCAAACTAAAACAAACTTTAGAATGGGGTCAGCTACAAGAAATATAGATAGAAATAATGACTTCGGTTTTGGAAAAATCCAGAATTTTTTCTTCATATTCAGAACGATTAAGCTCAACGATCCAACTATAACAAATAATTTACATCCTTACTGAGTATGATTTTCAGGAATTTTGAAGATTTGTGTATTTCCCCCCTCAGAATTAGCAGAATTAAAAATTTCAGAGCACTTAAGTACACTGAGGTTAAAATAAAAGCTAAAAAGCCCAACAATGACAGTGAAATCTTCCTCTATCAGACATAACTGTATCCCCAACTACCCTGAAGCAAAAGCAAGCTCATTCAAGTTTAAATAGGAGAAAAAAAATACTTAGAAGTACAGACACAAGTTTTTCTAATGCATCTTCAATCAGTTTACATATACAATTTGATTTATATATTACAGTTTTGTCTTTTCCTCTAAAATTAAAAAAAATTAAGGTTACATTTTCATATATAAAATATTATTCAGTTATTTAAAAATGCATACAAATGGTATTTGTTATCATTACTTGTTTAAGCCCTCATCAGCGTGTTTTCTTTACTGTTCTTTAAATTCTGTAAACAAATCACTGCGTCATGACCCGTGCTCCAGAGAGAAATGCTCAGGCATGGATTTGATGTCACAGTGCGAGCAACATGCCTCTACGTGTGCTGGGACATGCCATTCACCAAACTTCTGAGCTGCTTCACAACTGTCTCTATCAACTTCTGCTTGTCTCGATCGTTCTTTCTGAACTGAGCAAATATATTGTTCTTTTTGTTCATATCCTTCATCCTAGAAACACGTATGAATGAAAACACTTAGAAAAGTAAAAACTATGCTGCCTTAAGGAAAAAAGCATGCTTTGAATTATCTAACACTAACCACCTTGTGCTTGAATAATACACTTCAAAGAAAGCAGGTACTAATGAATTGACAGATTCAGAGAAAACATAGCAAGGATGGTGAAGCAGAGCTCTTTCACTCCCACACGAATCTAAAACATGCTGCTTTCAAATACAATGCTGTTTCCTAATGTTAACACAAAGCCGCTAAAACATCCTGTATGGACTCTTACACATTCATAGATGATTATGTAAACATGAAAATAGCATTAGAAAAGTCAAAAGTGTGATTTTTTTGCCTCAGTAGTAGTTCATGATATTATAAATTTATACTAATTTTGAATAGTTCTCTATGTCCCCTTCAAATCAAATATACCACAGATATTTTGAAATGTGTGGGAAAACAACATACAACTTTAACTTAATTTAAAAACTGCATTTAGCCTGGCATAGTGGCTCGCACTTTTTTTTTTCTTTTTTTTTTTTGGTCTTTTTGAGACAGGGTCCTCCCTGTAGCCCCAGCTGTCCTGGAACTCACTATGTAGACCAAGCTGGCCTTGAACTCATAGAGATCCACCTGTCTCTGCCTCAGAGAGCTGGGATTAAAGGCGTGCACCCGGCTATGGCTCGCACCTTTAATCCCAGCACTCAGGAGGCAGAGACTGGGGTATCTTTGTGAGATCAAGGCCAGCCTGGTCTACATAGTGAGTTCCAGCTGTGCCTACAGAGAGATCCTGTCTCAAAAATTAAATAAATAAATTTAAAAACTGTGCATTTCAATAGTGATACTTTAAGCAAAATATGACTCAGTGAAGAAAAGTCTGCCACATAATGAGAGAGGAAAGAAGCTGGTAGTTAGCTGCATTAGCAAATTCTGTTAGCTTATTTTTTATAGCTAATTTTTTTTTCAGATCACCTATTTCTCTACCTACAAAGAATCCAAGACTGTGTAGTAGTACATGCCTTTAATCTCAACACTTGGGAGGCAGAAGCAGGCTGATCTCTGTGAGATTAAGGCCAGCCTGGTCTACAATGGAGTTCCAGGCCAGCTGGCGCTACAGGGAGACCCTGTCTCAACCCTCCTCCTAAAAAAAGAATTCAAGACTCAGATATCACTGGTGACAAATGTTCCATTTCTTGGGTCTATTTTATAAAGCACTTTCTTCCCAGTGTTGGGGTGTTTTGTTGTGGACAAATGTTTCATTTCTTGTGTCTATTTTATAGAGCGCTCTCTTCCCAGTGTTGGGGTGTGTTGTTCTCTCTCCTGTGTGTGTGTGTGTGTGTGTGTGTGTGTGTGTGTGTGTGTGTGTGTGTGTGTGTAAAGTAGCTCAAGTTCTTGCATCTTCAGTAAACACTCCTTCTGGGTTTGGGAGATGGACCCAGGACCTAGTACATTCTAGTCGTCTATCACTGTGCTGTATGTTTCCAGCCTTCCAGTAAATATATTTATATGGCAAACTGAGCCAGAAAAATTCAGGATACAATAGAAAAATGTTTTCTTAACATCAATATAGCCAAAACAACACTGAAAGGCAAGAAAGAGATTTTCTTTTGGTCATTAAATGGCCTGAGCTTCTTTCTTTTGAAACATGATCTCACTATATAACTCTGGCTCCCTCAAACTCATGATCCTCCTGCCTCAGTGCTGAGATTACAGGTACATGCCATCTGTTATGCTGGACTGAGCTTTAAAACTCCATCTAGATATTTCTCTTTTCATAGAAACTTCTAGTTCTCCACTTTGTCACAGAACTAAAATTTGTGCAAATGCTATACAAAATAATTCTTTTTTTTCAGAATATACTCACTTCTCCAAAAGTGTAAGGGCTGTGTTTGGGTTCACACGAAGGTACTTGGATGCCGGCTGTCCATAATCAGCTAGATAAGTAGACCAGTCCCAAACCATAAACAGGTCAAGGAGCTGAGGAAGAGGATGAAAACATTCCATCAACAATTTAAAAATATTCATTTTTATTATTTTTAGTTATATGTATGTGTGTGTCCTCATGTGGGAACGTGCATGTGAGTGCAGGTGTCTGTGGAAGCCAGAGGTATTGAATCCCCATGGAAGCAGAATTACAGGCATTGTGAGCCACTTGATGTGGGTGCCAGGAAATGAACTCAGGTCCTCTGGATAAGCAGTATGTGCTCTTAACCACCAAGCTCTCTCTCCAGCTGTCCATCAACTTTTGAATATTTACCCAAACATAAACCCAGCATATGCTGTTCTTGATTCATTTTCACATAACTGCATTTTAGAACAAAATAAGAAAACTTGTTTAAAAAACTAACTGTACTTTACAACTAAAATAGTATACATTAGGGGCTGGAGAAATGGCTCAGCAGTTGGGAGCACTGGCTGCTCTTGCAGAGGACTGGGTTCGAGTCCCAGCACCTACATGGCAACTAACAACTGTCTGTTTACAACCGTCCATGACTCCAGTTCCAGGGGATCCCATGCCCTCCTCTAACCTCCCTGGACATTGCACGACATGGGTAAATTTACAAACAGGCAGGCAATACACTCATACACACAAAATAAAAATAAATAAATAAAGGTATTATCTTTTTACTTTGAAATTCCTAAAATTGTCAGTGGCTGCCTTCCTAACTTTATTGCATTTCCAATAATTTTAATGAAACTCTCTCATAATCTATCAGCACCTGTATTGATGTTTAGAGATTTTCTTTTCATATACTGCTAGCTCAGTACTCAATTAGTAAAGGTTAGTGCTACTAACTGTATGCCAATTGTAAAACACCTTTTTTCCTTAGAAGATATGTTTATCTTTCAAAGAAGTTTCTTGCATCCAGACTTTTCTAAAGTAATTTAAATCAAAAGCTCAGATAATCTCAATTAAGCATATTAAATAACCTCTCCTATCCTCTGGTTGGTGACAGATCTTCAGTAGTGGTATGAAATGAGGGCCTCAGGATTTCAGCCTGTTAACTCTAGGCAATCATTTTGTATAAACAAACAACAGCAAGAAAGAAATCCTCTTGCTTTCCATAGTATCTCAAAATTGACTATTTGCTTTATAAACTCTAGTTAGAATCATTGTCAAATAAGGTCATAATCTTTTAAAAGCAATGCTAGGCCTAAACCAAAGCACCCAACTCCTTATCCAACTTTAAAGCCCTAATCCCCTTTAAGCCATTTAAAGCCAACTTCCTATTCCCATTCCCATCTGAACTGTTGCAGAAAGCTAGATGCTTTACTTACTGTTTCCTTTAGTTTTTATGCTCTTTGTTTTAAACATACTTTATAAGTAAGCATTCTTCTGGTTTTGTTTTCACATGAAGGAAACATCTATATTTACTCACAGGATGCCTATGTGGAGCTGGTAACTCTAAGTGGAATTAAAATTCTAGAGTGATTAAAGCCACCTAAAGAAAGATTAGGAGAAGCCAGCTTTTCCTTGGGAAGGTAAGGGATTTGCTTGACCTTTTTTCCCCCATACAATTTACAACTGTTAATACAGACTCTTGTAAAAAAGTAGAAAATTGTATAATGGAAACTTAAATAACTAATATTCTGTTTACTTTCAGACAAGATAACATTCTAGGCTATAATAAAAGTTGAAACATTCAGGGCTGGAGAGATGGCTCAGGTGTTATAAGCACTGGCTCCTCTTGCAGAGGCCCAGGGTTCAATTCCCACACCCACATGGCAGCTAACAACCATCAGTTCCAGGAGATGAACTCCATGGACACTGCACAACATGGGTGTACTTACACACATGCAGGCAATACACTTACACAAATAAAAATAAGTAAAAACATATTTAAAAGTTGAAACACTAGCACAGAAATTACCATGAAACAATGTAAAGAAGATATTGTCTGAAAATGAAAAGGGAACTTACGTGTAATTTTTAACTGTTGTTTGGTAACACACAGTTTCCAAGGAAAGTTACTTTCATATACTCAGATGATGAGAATGTAAT